AGGTAGCCACCCCATGACACGTGACACGAATGTAATTTGTTTTGTTTCCGGCAGCTTGAAGATCATGAGTATAAACCTTTAGATCCTAAAGATATACGTCTTCCACCCCCAATGCCCCCCAGTGAGAGACTACTGGCTGCGGTTGAGGCATTTTATAGTCCACCATCTCATGACAGGCCTAGAAACAGGTAAGAGTAGGTATAGCTAACAATATGGTAAGGAAAATGCCCTAAGAAGCTGTCTCAAACCACAAAGTGCCTCTCTCTTCCTTCGCCTGTGTGTTGGTTCTTCTAATGCTGAAATGAGTGCTCTTGTTGTATTTTAAACTGCGCACGCTGTTTGATCTTACGCTGAGATTTCTGAGACCTTTTTGCCCAGGCCCTTTGTTCCCTACAAAATCTAGCGGAAATCCTGAACGTCTCCGTTGATCAAAGTAGAATTTTACAGATGTCGGTTCTATGTGTGGTTGATTTATTGCAGTGAAGGCTGGGAGCAGAATGGACTGTACGAATTCTTCAGAGCTAAAATGAGAGCGAGGCGGAGGAAGGGTCAGGAGAAGAGAAATAGGTGAGAGACCCTGTCTGCTGCCTTCTGATGCATGCTGTTCGTTTGGAAGGTGCTAGGAATACCTTGGGCTAAACGCAGAGGGAAGGTCTGTTCAGCAGCGTGCTGATGGAATAACTGAGTTTCAACTCGCTGGAATTTCTGTCTAATCTGCAGAAAATAGTTTTTGCCACACTCAAGATTGTCTGCAGAAATACAGTGCTTGTGTGTAATTTGAATTTGGTCAAATTCAAGTATATTTGCATTTGTCGTGCTTCTCTAGGAGTTTCACTGGGGTTTCTCTGCTTTTATCTGTGCAGTGGGCCTTCTCGGTCTCGCAGTCGGTCTAAAAGCCGAGGTCGCTCATCCTCCCGGTCCAATTCGCGATCTTCAAAATCCTCTGGCTCCTATTCGAGGTCACGATCTCGCTCTTGCTCTCGATCACGATCCTACTCACGCTCTCAGTCCAGGTAGAGTGCAATGGGCTGAAGCTTGGGAACTGGGGGGGTGGGAAAAAACCGACCCTAGGGCTGAATGGGGAACCCTGGATGTTGCTCTGGGCACTTGTTTGTCTGATCTCCTGTGCTCTCCTTTCCAGAAGCCGGAGCAGGTCCCGCTCTTCTCACAGCCGCTCGCGATCACGGTCACGATCGAGATCGAAATCGTACTCCCCAGGGAGGCGGCGCCGGTCCCGGTCTCGCAGCCCTACTCCTCCGTAAGCTTTTGTTTGTTTTATTTCTCTTTTTACCTGGGTGGTTTGGCAAAGTACCAACAAGAGTGCTTTTCTCATAAGCTGGGTATATTAAGCATTTCAACAAATAGTAGAAAAGAAGATGGCAAGCAGATTTAGAAACGATTTATATGCTGTATGTGCTTATAGAGAGAATATTACTCCATTGTGGTGGCTTTTCGTTATAACAAAACACGGTGCAACTATGAAGGCCTCGTATGCCTTCCTAGGAAGCAGGAGGAGTCCTCCGAGTACTCCGTGTTAGGAAGACTGTAGTGTTTGATTTCCCTTGTGCTGAGAAGCAGGTAGGTGGTTTCTGGCACCTTTATAACTCCATAATCTATGGCTTTATAAAAGAATAGTTTAGTAGAGTGGATGGGATTGTATTGGATGTTAATGTTTAACAGAATATAAATGACCTTGCTTTGTGTCAGAACAGGATCACTTGTTCTTAATTTGTTCTTTTTATTCTCTTAGTTCTTCTGCTGGTTTGGGCTCCAGTTCTGGGCCTCCTATACCAGAATCAAGACTTGGAGAAGAAAATAAAGGCCATCAAATGCTGGTGAAAATGGGTAAGATGCTGTTCTGGAATCTTACACAAGCCAGGAAACAAAACCCAACTCTTCAATACAATTATTTAATGCATGTTCATAAGTAGTTATCCCTTGGTATTCCAAGGGCAGCGTAAGGATATTCAGAGATGTAAGTATATAGAACATGGAGCAGTGGCAGTAGCTGCCTTTCTGGGAAGGATATGGAAGACAGGGACGTGAGTTTGGCATCAAATAGGACTTGCCTCCCCGAGGTGTTTCATCTCCCTGTGGTTACATCAGCAGGGTTGACTGGGCAGACTGGTCTTGCGCTGTCTTTCCCCTTGCCCTTTTAAAGGTTTTTAGGGATAGTGCTGATGTTTGTCAGCTCCCAGATCTCTGCATATTAATGCTTTTGAAATAAATGGGACAGTTCCTATGTTGTTTCAGGCTGTCTGTTACCATCCTGCTGTATCAAATTGACGCTTTCTTTGGTCGTTTCCAAAATGTTTGTTTGTTTGTCTTCAGAATTCTAGCAATAAAAAAATACTTGCAGGATTGCAATGTTGTGTCCTTTCTGCAGGATGGAGTGGATCTGGTGGATTGGGAGCCAAGGAACAAGGAATTCAGGATCCAATTAAAGGAGGGGATATCCGAGACAAATGGGATCAATATAAAGGAGTAGGAGTTGCATTAGATGACCCTTACGAAAACTACCGAAGAAATAAAAGTTACTCGTTTATCGCACGCATGAAGGCCAGAGATGAATGTAAGTGAATGTTTCTAAGCAATTTAAGAAACTGCAGGCTTGATAGTGATTTTGTCCTATTTACTGTAGACTGTAAACCCAAATCAGAAGACTAGTAACTCTTAATTCTTTCTAATACAATATAATGGATACAATAGAACAGGTAAGTAGACATATATTCTGAATAACCCAGCATCTTTTCCTTTTTAGGAGTTGTGTTGTATTCTAATTTCTGAAACGTTAATTAGCCTGTTTGGGTTAAGCCACTTCCTGGCTGCAATACCAAGAGCCTGCATCTTTGCCTGTCACACTTCAAAAACTAGGCGCAATCACACAGGTAGCGGAGGGAGCCGGAGCAGGAAGGTCCTTATGGTTGGAATGACGTTAGACCACGCTCACTGCTTGGCCCTGCCCAACTCTGAGTTTCCTACAATTAGCGCTGTGTTCTGCCAAAGCCAGAACTGGTAATGAGTTCAGAAAAGGGTTCAGAAAAAGTGGAGGTGCTCCTTAAGAGATGAAGACAATTACTAATGATGGATTTTTGCAGAGAGTCTGTATTACCTAAAACAACTGCACTTGCCAATGGCTAAAATGAAAAAAATTGGCATGCTAAATGAAAAGTCACTTCTGCCTCTGGCTGCAGTAGATCTGTGTGATAAAATGGGTTCAAATAAAGCCCATAGGGAAAGCCCTCGTTCCATGAAGCATTTCAGACAGCTTAGGTAACTGCAGAATGTGTAAGAACTCTTTTCCCTATTGTTTCAGTGAAGCGTGAAACGCAAGACCCTCCACCACCTGAATAAGACTCTCTGAAGAAAGATGTCTTGCATCTTCTACAAAACATTAAACTTGTATAAATCCGGATTAAAGTCTGGAGGAAGTGACAAAAGAATTACTTTTAAAACTATGGTGAAAAATGGAAAGCTATGACATGTACTTCAACGCTTGTCGTTTAGTGTTTAAAAAAGGCCAGTCGTAACTATGACATGTCTAGCAAGTTTAAGAATTTCCATTTATTTTGCAAAATTTTTTAATTAGTTACCCATTTTCTACTCGAGTTAAGCCCCAGTCAAGCTATCCCTGGTGCAGGATTGTGATTCATTCATTCCTGTGGAATACAGACGTTATCTGATACGGTTGTGTGTTCTCTAGTTCCATAATGTATGTTTATTTCTCTCAAAAGGTTAATTCTATTTGAAGTGGAGGGGTGCTGCCTTGGGATCAAGTCAGACTGATGCTGAGCAGTGTATCCTAATGTCTAAATGGGGAATGAAGCATCTAGTTCCAGTGCAGGTGACCTATGAGCACTGTGCAAGCTTGTTAGAACCTACCATACAACTTAACGCCCCTACACACCAGCTGCTGCAGTCACAACTCTGGTCAGAACACGAGGGTTAACTGTTCTAGCTTTTCAAGCGCTCTAAGGGATGTTCGATGCTTTGTAATGGAAGACATTCTTTAAGCTTTTTATATTTTTGTATATACCCTTTAATAAAAGCTAATTAGTTGAATAGAAGAGAATCGGTTTTCTCTGCTCTGCAAGTTTCTAACAATGAAACGTCCTTGGAAACTTTAACCTAAATGAGAAAAGAAACCTTTTGTAACTGTTTCCAGAGACCACCAGCTGAAGATGTTAGGCCCTTGCACTGCACTTCCACTCCAGAGGTCTGCGTGGTGGTAACCTCTTCCAGAGTCGTTTGTTTGTATAGCAGAAACCCTCTTAAAACCATTTGGTCAATATGGTGAAATATCAGTTTGTTCTAGATCTACTGTAGTTGTGGAACTGTAACTGTCTGTGAATCAGCATACAACACCTGTATGTTATCAACTTGTGAATTTTATTGTTTTGCCTTCCAATAAACACTTTTTTTTTTTAATAAAAATAAAATGGTGGCTCGTATTTCGGAGTAAATGGATTCCAGTACATTGGCTAAAAGCCGTCCTTCTGTTGAATTTATCTTAACTTTTCATGTGTTTGGTTTGGTAGTAATCCAACAGGTTAATTATATATTTATATATAATTATGTTTAAATATGGCATGGAAGTCAGGATACAGTATTTTTCTACTGTGATCGTAGTCCTCGGGTGCTGTAGTAGTACAGACTTTCACTTCTACCATGACGACAGATGTGATCACGGATCACACGATCTACGTGATGAACACGCACGCTATGGTGACTTACCGCACTCCCTTTGGAGAGAAGCGTTTTCTTGGTTTCCTTTTTGCTGAACACTGACATAGTCTGGCTGAAGGTTCCTGCCTATCCCTATATCATGTACATTAGTAAAAAATTCAGATATAGGAAAATAAATTATGTATAATAAGATACATCGTGGTTAGTACACATCCTTCCAGTACATAGTTTGTAACTTCTCATCTGTACGATGTGGAAGGGTTTCTGGTTCCAGCTTGAGATCTGTAAATGTAAATGTTACTTGAAATTCAGAGTCAAAGCAGTTTTTCCTCCTGTGCTTTCCGAATTTCTTCACGTGCTTGCTCAATTGTTAGAGGTGGGGATTTATGATTCTTGATGTACTGCAAAAAAAAGTTAAAACACAAATTTCTCTATTATGTAGATAAATACTTTATAGTATTTAATAAATCTTCATGTCAAGATACCTGGACAACTAGCAACAGAAACTGATACTTCTGTTGCAGCGTTAGGAAGATCCTTGCTCGTTTGAGGACAGCTAAATCCTACAGCATAAAGCTTATTCTTCCAAAACTACGGCCTCCAGTAAGACTAGTCTTTTTTTACTATATAAACTCCTGACTTCTTATTAATATGGGCACAAGCATTATAGTATTCTTCTTCTATGAAGTAATTTATTCAATGATAATATGAACTTTATCTGATTAATGAATAATATGCAAAGAAAAGCATTTGGAAAGGAATATATGCTTACTTTACCCAGGCTGCTCTCTAGTCTATTGTAAATACCTCTTTAGCCTCTTCCAGGGTATGGTAGTGGAACTTCTCATTCTCTAATGACTCCACCAGGGAGACGTGAAGGTGGTGAATGTTCTCTACAAACTGCTGAGTCAACACTAAGTGCTGTTTCAACATGGCGTTTAAAACAAGAACTGACGGGCTGTATGCTGTCAAGGCTGCAAGAAATGGAGAGTGTATATTTTAGCGATACATTACAGTCAGACAGTAAGGGCTAAACAACCCAAGCAGGGCTTTGATGCATAAAATACAGTAAAACAGAATAGAAACATGTTTTTCAGTACCTTCTACTGCATCCATGCTGATGACGTGACTGGCAATAGGTACTGGATCAATGTAGCTGTTTCCTACAGGTGGGTCAAGCGCTGCAGAGGCGTTTGCTGTGCATAGGATGAAATGAGAATTACTAGGTTTGGAGGGTGGAAAGGTTTTGCGCTACAACTCGGTTCATCTTCAGCAGTCCCTTGGGACACCAGCTTCGGCAGAACCGCTGTAGAGCCCAACAGGGAATTCTGTCAGCCAAAAAAATGCTAAAATTGTTCTATGGCTGCCGCAGTTTCTTTACTCATGTTCACCTCACATGCCATTGCAGAAGGCATCTTTTCTAACCCTAGACAGTAAAAATAAAGGTTTTTGCACTTGAGGGAAGTACTGTTTTCAAGCACACCCGAGTTTCTATTTTCTTCTCGAGGGTGGCAAGAAGTGGCTCTTGCCACTTTTTCCTTTAAGTAAAGACAGGTAGGAAAGGAGCTACCCCTCGGAAACAGCTAAAGGTCACATCTGTCTTTTGTAAATGGGGCCGTAGTGCTTTCCCAAGAAATAAATACAACACAGAAAAAGAACTCTACGATGGGTGACCACTTTACTAACAATACAGTAGTATTGTTTGCAACAGTAAAGATACAATAAAAATGTTGAATTCCATTTGAGAATATTACTCGGGCTATTGCAAGCTCTGTCGCTAACACTAGCTCATCCATCCAGAGTTCCTGTTGTTTTGGTTTTTTTTTTTCCTAGTAAAAACCAGTTCCAAGTTCTTATTCTGTTGTTTAATCCCAATCTTTTCTACAGATAGCAGATTAAAGTATTGGGCTTTAGAAAGTTTTTAATTTAATGTCCGCTAGGGAAAGCTAGTACTGAAACTAAGAACTCTCCCAAGGCTGACTAGGCTAGCATATAAAATATAAAAAGGTAAAAATTGCCTGAATAGGGCAATATCTCGTGCACTTACTCTTTGACCAGCAATAGGTGAATGGAGGATCCGCTGTCTGGACCGCCCTTTCTTTGACAGTTACTCTGTGTATGCGGTCATGCCGCTCTCTGGTAAATAAAGGCGACGATGCTGAAGACGGGTGTTTCCCAGAATACGTGCAGCTCTCAGAATGTTCCTCTGACATTTTCGATACAGATTCCCCATCTGTTGTAGACAGAGACCTTTCAAAGTCTTCAGAATATTCTGAATTAACTGTTCTCTCATCATGATCAAAATAATCCTGTTTGTGTCTAGGGAAATCTGCAGAAACTCCACTTAAATGCTCAGAGATTTCAGCTTCAGTCACAGTTTTTTCAATATCCCCTTCAGAAGCATCATTCACACCAGTTACTGCACTTGTCATTTTAAGAGACACTTGGTCCTTTTCTACCAGGAATGTATCTTTTTTTTTATTTCTGTTTGATTCTTGAGTAATTTGAATGTCTGTCCCCTGTAAAACAAAACGGCTGTATGTTAGGAGAATCAACAACATATAACCCAGAATATGCCTCCATTGTTCATCTGCTCTGCTGCGTATCACTGAGGGTTAGCTACTACTTTATTAGGAAATCAAAATGTTGCTCTTCTGTGTCACCTTGCAAACTGTGCAATGCTGTTACATTTAGTAAGGAAATGCAGACACTAAAAAAAGAATTCGGTCAGGTTTCAGTAGACTGTAAAATCCTGATCCTTTCAGCTAGTGAGACAAGCGCACCTCAGCCTGTGAGTAGAACAGAAGTATTTATTTTAGAATATCCACCCTCCACCAAACAAAGGCAGAATGGAAATATGTGCTAGTAGGGAATTTCTACTTACTTTCTGCTTTAATTCTCCTGTCTCACTGGTGATGTTTGGTGCCAAATCATCAAGGGTCAGGATATTCAGTCTGAAGTCTGCAACCGAATGACAAATCATCATGAGAATCTGTATGAAAATTACAGTACGCTTTCCCTTAAGTGAGAAAAGGGGAAAAATAAATCAGTGCTGCATTCCTAGTTTAAAGTGTAATACTAAAAAGTAACAGCAATCACTCTAAACCTTTAACTTAGCAGCAGCTCTTTCTAAAGTTTCCTCCTTTGCTGTCGGTGGATCTGCCAACCCAAGTTCAAGAGATTCTTGATCCCCCTCATTTACACTTGTTCTCACTCAAACCCATTAGTACCATTGTCCCACTGATACATGAAAACTATTCTAAATGTCATAATTGTTTTGACGTCATAATTAAGTGTCACCCAGGGAAGCATCATTAAACTGAACCCATTAAATCAAAAGCCAAGAAAAATATAAATATATTACACTTGAAAAAAGAAATAGATCAACATAATTCCTCTGATAAAGCCTCGGTTTATGTAAAATCACACTACTGAATCCTTTCAAAGTGAGTATTTGCCCATGTTTATTAGTAAACTTAACAGTAGATTATTAGTACAATTCATGCCAAGTCTACTGAGACAATATTTTAGAACACTTACCATTTGAGCTGCTGCTAATTGAATCTTCTGCATCTGCTGCTTTTGAAAACAATTCATCTAATGATTTTATTTCACTTCTGTCACTTTCAAGTGATATTTGGCTTTGCTTGGTGTTGCCTATTCTAGGCAGAGTAATCTTTACAGTATTGTCTTTCATGGAAGAAGACAGCGATTGAGATCTCGTATTATGTTGTACTGACAGGTTTCTGCCGGCTGGTGAAGGTGTTGGTGAATTAACTCTACCAAAAACATTTTTCTCCGAGTCTTCGCTATGAAAAGAAGATGTTTTAGATACCTCTGTCAGTGAAATTTCCTTATGAGACAGAGGAGGCATTCCGGATGAAACTCGAGTCTTACTCTTTGGAAGAACATGAAAAAGAGATTTAGGTGTTACTTCATTTATTATGTGTAGATCACTAAAAAGGAAAACAAATTACAATGGGTAAAACCCAGTAATTTTAAAATGTGAACTGAAGTTAAATCATATTATGAGCAAGCCACAAATGCAAAATTAAAATTTAGTTTCTGGTGTTATCTAAATAAAATGTGACCTACCAATTTAAAACAATTTCATAAAAGTGTAAATAAAAACACATAATCCAGCAAAGTCGGTATTTACCTTTCCACCCCGTTTAGAATCACTTGCAACAACGCTCTGATTCTCATTTCCACGGGAAAACTCCAAAGAGCTCTCCATCAGTTGTCTCATTTCCTCTTCATCGCTATCCAAATCAAGCTGCTGTTTAACCATAACATTCTTTTTAGGGCTTTGGATGCTTTCCTCTTCCTTAGAACAGGCATTACTGAGGGTCATATTTCCACTGGCGGTAGCATAATTCTTCAGATATTTTTTGCCCCTTGCACTGTGTTCATGACTGGAAGCAGATGAGAAGGACTCTTCATCCAAAGGCTTCTGGCCCAAATCAGTCTTTTGCAATTCCATCTGCTTTTTTCGATTCATGATTTTGCTCTCCAGTTGTGCCACTTTCCTCAGAGCTGAGCTTGACCGTGTGTGGGAAGCACTACCTGGAATGCTCTTTGCTACGTGTCTGCTCACCGTCTGCACAGTGCTTCCCGATGTCTGGCACCATTGGCTTCCATGTACGTTTTCGTTGCGCACCTTTAGGAATCTCCTCTGGCAGAACGGAGCTCTTCCAGTTTTTTCCAACTCTGTGTCAACCGCAGAGAGGTCACTACAGGAGCGAGGAAGGACGCTGCGCCCAGCTGTGATGGTTCTCCTGCGGGGAGCATCGCTGTGTCCCTGCCGAGAAGAGGATGCAAAGCGAGGAGCCCTCAGAGGCGGAGGCAGGCGGCCCGGTTCAGCTCCCAGCTCCCAGGACAGGGCAGACACTCCCGCTCCCCGCGGCCCTGCCCTCGGCCCAGCCTGTGCCGAGCCACCTCCTCCCACCCTCCGGTGTAGGCCCTCCCCACAGGCGGCTGAAACACCGGCCC